TCATTAGATAATAGTAGTGAAGAGGACAAGGTAAACCCTCTTTTATCTTGTGTCTTTTATCTTCTAAACCTGTCTTGATGATTGTGTGTGTTTGTAACAGAGACATATTATAGAAAACCAAGAACTCACCGATGTTTGGTGGGACTACAAAACACATGAGTTCCATATGACTTGGTAGATGAAGGAGTTGCTTATAAGGATGGATTTGTCTATGAAAATTTTGAGAGAACGCTGAAAGAAAATGGGTTTACTGGACTGTTAGAATTAGGATTATCGTAGGTTATAGGGATACTCCATTGTTTTGAGAGAGTATTGAATGTTGAGTGTCTCATTTTTAAGAAATGTATATTTATTTCAATATCTTTTAACATTTCGAGATATTTCGAGATATATGCAAGTGTCTCATTCAACATTTCGAGATATTTTGAGATATATCGTAAGTGTCTCATTCAACATTTCGAGAGAGTATTGAATGTTGAGTGTCTCATTTTCTAACAAATGGGCTTGGCCGAATTTGGTATTTTTCAATTGCTTGTAATGGAACTTGTGATTCATTTTTTCACGGTGGTTTTCGTGAGATTCCGACAATTTCCTGCTCATTGAAACTTGGGAATTATAGTCGTTAATCATCAGCTGATCTGCAGTCATGAGGAAGCTTCTAGTCCAAATGCGAATAACATCTTTGCAAGCAGTTGCAATATCGCCATTGTCTAAAAATTTGGCGTCCCAGACACTGCCTGGGTGTTCCAGACTTTGAAGGCATGCTCCATCTATAGCAGACAATGACAACACAATAAAAAACAACATATAAGAACAAGCATGCTTTAAACCAAAATGTTAGTCTTCTTTTCGCTAGTGATATCAATTACAACATTCATGGCAGACCAATCTTTGCACGACCCCAATTTTCCTAAGACTCAAGCTCACTTTTGCATCATGTTCAATACAAATCGTATATTAGAACCATTTCTTACCATTTCAACTCGTTTGACACTCTACATTCTTTTGTCTAAGAACTTACAAGAATAAGTTAACATAGCCACAAATTTTGTGACAACAATGATTTGTAGCAAAAATTTGCTACAAAATGATATAATTTTGCTACAAATTTATGAAGTTAGGCAATTGTAACAAAATCGTAGTTATTTGTGGGTAATATGCTACAAACTTACTACAAAATTAATATTGTAGCTAATTTGCTTCAAACTATAACGACATAATTGTGGAAAATATTGCTACAAAAATTTTTGAAGAAATATGAAACAAAAGCTACAATTTGCTTCATAAATGTTGTAGTAAAATGTTTAAAATGTTTGCATGAACAATTGAGATTAGATTTCAGCACAAGTTGTGTATTAATGACTAATAGCTACAATGCTTCTTGTCGCAATAGTTACAAATTGGTTACGAAAAACTATCGTAGCTATTTTTTTTTTTGTCACAAACTATCGTAGCTATAATATTACAATTTGTGACACAAAATTTGTAACAATAGGTTTTTATAAATATTAAAAATACAAAAAAAAGAAATCACGAATCTTCGATTTAGCATTTGATTTATAACATTTGATATATGATTTTATAACTTTTATTACATAAATAAATGTTTGATTTAAAGTTTATGATTTGAGGGTTAGAATTTTGCAATTTATACATAATAATTTTCATGAGATTTTAACTGTATGTATGAGCAAAACAAATATTTTAGTATAAAGCCCCTTATGTCTCTAAATATTATACATATATGAATATGATTATTGATCATATACGAGGAATATATAATTATTATAAATATCTAACAAATGTATATATTCAAAAATTAAACAAATATCATATACTATTTTATTACAAAAATAGAAACACATCTATATATGCACGATACCCT